AAAGGAGCAGAGGACGAAGGCGAAGATCGAAGAAGCGCTAGTCCAGAGGAAGATGAGACGGGTAAAGATCGAGCTGACGAGAAAGAAAGCAAAGAAACCGAAGAACAACAATCCTGCTACCGTCTAGGGGACGGTCGACGTTTCTACTGCACTGTTCCTGGAGCGACGTGCAAAACTGGGCCATTTCGGGACCGGTACCTGGCCCGGAGACATGCTAGGAATGTTCATGGGCTCGGGGGAGGTGGGTTTATTGTACTGGCTGTTCCTTCTTTTCCCGAGTTCATGCTGTTCTCGTCCTTTCTCTTCCCTCTTTCATCCCTCGTCGCTCTTCTCTTCTCTTCATATTTTTGTTTGGTCATTCCGTTCGCTTTTCCTCTCTCTTCTTTTCTTCCTCTCTTCCTCTCTCCTTCTCTTCATGCTCGTTTTATTCGCTCGCTCACTAACCCCCAGCCCCCGACGTCCGCTGTCCAATCCCGGGATGCAGGAGCAAATTGCACGACCGCGAAGCGTGCAAGAGACATGTGGAGAAGACACATCCGGGCAAGTGGAGAGGTGAGTTTTGTTTCTTTGGTGTTGTGGGGTTTTGGTCCGGCGGTCTGTCGTTTGGGTTATTGGCTAGTCCAGTCGGAATGTTTGTTGTCGTTGTCCCCTTGCATTTTGTTCCATGGAGATATTCGTTCCGTCATGTTTTGTAGAGACAAGTTTTCGTTTTCACCTTCGCCGCTGAGCTATTAATCGGTCATCGTTGATTATTTTGTCTTCCGTTGATTCCTTTGTGTTCGTGGTCGTTGAATCATTCGTCCTCTTCCTCGTTGAACGATTTCCGCCTTGTTTTGGCTTTTGGTTTCGCAGTTTGATTACTCTTTTTGCCTCGCTATTTGGCTTGCCTATTTAGTTTTCGCTGTTTGATCACGCGTTCATCAGTCACTGTCTCTTGATTCTTTCCTTACTTTACTCGCTACGATTCCCTGCTGACTCACTCCTCCCCTAGATTCCTTCCAGTTGAAACGTACGTTTTCTCGCCTTCTTTCATTTTCGTTTTTTCTCCTTTCCTCTTCCTGATCTCACCTTCATTCCTCTTCCTTATCTCATCTTCTCTCGTTTTCCTTTTGTCATCGTCGTGGAGTCTGTACATTCGCTCATCACTGAACAGATGTCGTGCCGTATGCGCCTTATGTCAGGGATCCTGGCGCGAAAAGAGAGGAGAGGCTTTCGCAGAACAAGGGTCCCGGTCCCTCGAACCGCGAGAGCCATAGGGCGAAAGGAAAGGGGAAGGTGCAGGACGAGTCCGAATCCCAATCAGACGAATCAGAACAAGAAGATTCAGATCCAGAAGATTCAGAACAAGAAGAATCAGACTCTGACGCAGACCTCGAAGAGTCAGAGCAAGGAGAATCCGAATCCGACTCTGCCATCCACTGCTACCGCCGCTCGCGCGCTGGGCCCTTTTGCACAGTTCCACATTGCAAGAAAGGGCCGTTTAAGGATGCGTCGGGGGCGAGGAGGCATGCGAGAAATGGGCATGGGTTGGGGGCAGGTAAGTTTATATTTTATGTTTCTTACTTCTTGTGCTGACTTTGCTTTCTCTTTATTCTTTCCCGTCGCTCTTTATGGTTATTTCTTTCGCTCGCTAACGCTCATTTGTTCGCCAGCCCCCGATGTCCGCTGTCCCATCGCCCACTGCACGATGCGGCTACAGACGAGGGAGGCGTGCAAGAAGCATGTGAGGAAGCATCATGTTGGGATGTGGAGGGGTGAGTACTATTTTTGTGTTATTTACGAGCTTTTCGTGTTGTTTTGGTCCCGTTTTGTACCAAGTTTGGTTTGGTGTTGGTTTTCTTGTTCGTTTCTTGTTCGGATGTCTGTCGTATTCATCCTCGAATCTTGCTTTATGTACGAGTCTATTCACCCTACGAGTCTGGGTTCGCGCTTTCGTGCTCTTTTCGTGTTTGTTTTGGCGCTTTGCTCTTTCTTTCTGGTCTTTCTGTTATGTCACCCCTCGCTCTTTCTCTTGTGTCACTTTCTCTTTCTTTCACTTCACTCGTTCGCTCGTTCGCTCAATCACTCGCTCACTAACATCCCTTTCGCAGATTCCTTCGTCTTGGAACGTATGTGGCTTGATTTTCTCTCCTCTATCCACACGACTAACCACATTTTAGATCTGGTGCCGACTGATCCGTATGTGCGTCCGGGCAAGAGTAAGGACAAGGGGAAGGAAAAGGACAAGGGCACAGGGAAGGAAAAGGACACGAAGGGTCAGACGAAGACGAAGGATAACGATCCGAAAACGAAAGACAGGCAGACGAACCAAGGTTCGTCATCTTTACCTCCAATACACGAAACTCGTTGAATATGATGGTAGAATTCGCTGTTCCGCGGTCTCCACCGATTTCTTTTCCAAATTCAACGAATCCACTTGCCAACGCTCTACCGAATCCTCCTGCCAGGTCAACGAATCTATCAATTCCCCGAGCCCTGCCGATTCCTCGACCTCTACCGAGTGGGAGCGGGGTGAGGCTCGAGGTAAGGCAGGGGCTTCCGCCGAGTTCTTTGATGACGAAGACTGGGAAGACTGCAATGAATAATAATGTGTCAGCCTCGTCATCTTCTTTGCATCATCTCCAATCTTCTCGTCAATCGAATTCACAATCATCTCGTCAACCGAGTACTCTATTCTCTCATCCACCGAACAATGGATCGTCGCGCCGCTCCCGCCCCAACTTTTCCCCTTACACCCCGCCCGTGGCGCAAAAATGTCCCTTTCCGACATGTAAGCAGATTTTTAGGAATGAGAGTACGTTGAGGAGGCATGAGAGGGGGCATGGTGAGTCGATTTGATTCTCGGTCTCTTATTCGATTATCTTTTCTGTTCCTTATTCCCTATATAAGTAACACTTTCTTTCTTGGGGTTACGTTGATGGTTTCTTCGAGCTACGTTCATTTTCGTCTTTCTACCTTCGGTCTGGTCATTGGTGCTTTCGTTTGTCTCGTCGCTCCTCTCATTCAACCCGACTGAACATGTCCACAGACTGGGACCGCTGTCTTCCCGGGGGCGATTTGTATGTTGCTGAGGCTGGGGCATCTACGGCTGTTTTGGGATCCTCGACAGCTCCGTTGGCTCGTGCTTCCTCGTCTACTGCTCGTTTGGGTTCGTCATCGGCTCCGCCGAAGTATTCTCAAGAAGGATGGTCGTCGGAGGAAGGTGATGACTTAGAGGAAGATTCGGATGAGGAAGATGATGATGCGTATGAATCTGGGCCCAAGGCGTCTTCGAAACGGGTTTCTCTGGTAAGTCTTGGGTCCGTCGCGACCTAGATCCTGACTGAAACATTAGGGCTCTGAACGCTCGAAGCATCAGCACACTGAGCACGAGAAGCAGCCAACGAAACACGACATGAAATTCCACTGCGAAATCGGATCGTGCGAGTATCAGACGTTTCGGAGGGATCGGTTGGAGAGGCATGTGGTGAGTCATTTCTGGTTTCTCTTCTCTTTTTCTCCCCTTGGTCTCGTGGTGTGATGTCTCTCCACTTTGTCTGACCAAGGATATCTCCTGCTGGTCCATGCATATCACTGCTGTTGCTATCAGCTATCAGTGCTCCTGCTATCAGCGATATCACAGTGTCATCGGTGTCATCGTGATTTGAATCGTGACGCCATACTGACCCTAAATCCCAATATGAGACCGTACTAACCTATCCAATAGCGCACCCACACTGGAGAAAAGCCGTTCGAGTGTGAGCACTGCGAGTATAGGGTGGCGCAGGAGCAGAATTTGAGGAGGCATTATAGGGTGAGCCGAACCTTCCTTTTGTCTGCTGGTGAGGAGCTTTCGGCGAACTGGACCGAACCTTTCTGTGAGCTGGCGTACTTTTTCGGTCTGCTCGTGCACTTTTATTGAGCCTTTGTGTCTGGTTCAATTTGAATCTGATCCCCGACAGCTACATCATCCGGATAAAAGTGTACCGTCGGTATCGAGGGTGTGAATGAATCGAGAGTGTGAATGAATGCGTAGCAGTGCGGTAGGGGACGCCGGGGTGATTGGGAATGGGAGGAGTGGAAGGGAGATGAAGAGCCGAAGAGATCTGGTTGTGGTTATAGCCCTGGTCTAATATTGGTATCCGGTTTGATAACTTTTGGTCGAATCTGTTTGGCGGTTTGATACTTCTGATAGTATGCTCGTTGTGGAGCGGGGCACAGTTAGGGCTTCAAACCGGCCGTATTACGGGTACGGGCGTAAAAAATACGCCAGTATTTGGGAGGAGTCGGGTCTACCCGTATGGTAATGAGATACAAGTTAGGCCTTTACGGTACGAGTCTCGGGCGTACCCGTACTTAAACGGCATAAAATACGGTATAATTTTGAGACGCGACGCGAGCCTGAACTGTACTAGCCGCGTCATAGCCAAAAAGATGAGACAATAGTGAGCTGGGAGAGACCTTGCACACCATCAGACTCCAGATATTGAAAAGAGAAATCATAGGCTGCCATGAGCTAGAGTAAATGGGCAAGAAACTAGCTGTGAATATGAGGCTAAGACAATGAACGAGCCTGGGAAACGACTGACGTGGAGGTTTTTGCATCAATTGTCCATCAATCTCAGATGCCTCTGAAAGCGCTTTTCAACACTTTTATTAGCTTTTCCAGTTCCAATCGGAGTAATAAATCATCATTTTTGGATACCCGGACACCCGTATACAGCAAAACCCGTACCGTACTACCCGTCCCGTCAGACCTGGCGTGAAAGCTCAACCGGTACGGGTCCGTACCCGTACATACTGTCCGTACATCCGTACCTATACAGGGCCAGTTGGAAGCCCTAGGCACAGTACGAGAACGTGGGCAGGGTACGGTATTTGTGAGAAATTTGAAGGGAACAAGAGTCGAGATGCGTTAGTGATGCCAGGGAAGTTATCAACGAGAGTGCCAAAAGTCTTGATGAGAAAAAGAGCACTGAAAGTCCTAACATAAAAAGAAGGCAAAAAGAAAAGAAAAAACATGATTTGACTTAGGTTTGACCTGAGGACCTTCTGTGCATAATCATCCAACAGTCGGATGTTAGACAGATGTGATAACCAACTACACCATCGAGCTATGTAAAGGGAGTTTGGTGAGGCATTGAGATATCTCAATATGGGTAAGATCTATTTGTCGGTGACTCTCATCTCTTGTTGACCAGTGGGGTATAGGCCAACAGTCCGTGGCAAATACGAGTCCCCAACCTTTTTGTTTGATTTTTAAGCTGTGCTACAATCCTCTGCCAATTAATGATAGGTTATCCAGATGAAAGAAAAGCCTGAGCATCAATATAACTCTGTTACACATTGTCAAGACCAAGAAAGTCAAAATCAAAGAGATAAAAGAAAAGCATCCAGCACTCGAGAGGTCATGTATGCACGGCTCAGTGCTATGACTATCTTGGGACTTTGGAGAAATCTAGTGAGGGACTGTCAGATTAAAAATACAATAGTTCTGAGAAACAGTGTCGCAAAACCAATACCTTGGGATTGATACCGTTTGGGACTGTTTTTTGGTCAGGATTATCAAAACATGGGTTTTGAAAGACCCAAGAATTTCTTGTTTCAGGCAAAGTGCCAAGGAAAGGCCTGAGAATCAACACTTGAACAAGGGCTGTGATCGGCATCCTGTCGGAGTCTCAATATTATGTGATTTGCAAAATTGCAAGGGCAGTACTGCATGATGGCATTTAATATCCTAGTCCTGATGTCTCCAGGCAGCTACAACACTCAAAAAAAATAACTGACCTCATATTCAATGTTTATTCTTTGCATATTTTATGTATCCCAAGTTTTATGATGCCAGCTAATACAGTTCAAGAGTTCCAGGGTCATTTGCATATCTAGTAATGACAACGAAGGCAGGTTGAGTTTAGTCTCGGGTAAAGCCGAGAGCTGTGAAAAGGGTCATGGGACTATCCCCTTTGGGGACTTTGATGGCAGATATCTCTTTTTCGCTCACATCCAACAAATGATTCCCACGGGTGGGACTCGTAACAACTCTATGTAAGAGGTCTGAAACGCCAGAGTGCTTTGTGGTCTGAAATGTCAAATTATCGGATCTTGATCTTGGAGTAGGGTCAACTATACTATTACTATAGTTATATCATGTGTAGCATGGGTACTACTTATACCTACTCTATATTATGTGGGTACAGTCAGCCGATTGGACGAGGTTGATTTTGTGATTTTGATTTCGGATATTGGATATGGACGGGGCCGGGTCAGGTAACGGTACCCTTCGACAAGGGTTCCGAGGACCATCTCCGCTGTACAATAGGTTTCTGATACTACTACAGCTTAGCATATCTATGGAAAGGCGTCAAAAAGGCATTAAAAAGATCCGAAGTTTGATTAGTATTATCGGTCTGAGCTGCGCACGTGATGATTCCCGCTACCTTCTGTAGTGGCTATATCACGTCCACTAATCTGGGCCCCGCTTATGATCGTGATTTTTGGGCAGTGGCTATCCGTCGGAGCGTGTCATGTTTACCCGGCTGTCATTTCTCTTTCCAGCATCCTCTCTTGTCTACATCACCTCGTCTGACTTGAGCGCTTTTTACTGCTTTCATGTCCCGTTTCTTTCCATGTATTTGTTGCTTCACGAATGGAACTTCCTCTCCATTGGCATGGTGGTAACAGCTCCTGATCGAGAATGTCTCATTCCCTTTCGCTCAAATGATTTTATCGTCTCCTAATATGACTGCTCCCCATGTGTTTTCTCTTCTTTGTCCAACATGCTTCTGACTTATATTCATATTTGACTCATAGCCGAATAATAACTAGGGCCACATGTATGGCATAGTTGACATGGGTTCTGAATTTGAGCTTGTCGTCAACATGGATACTGAGGTATTTTGCTGAGGTCACTGGCTTAATGATTGTCCCAGTAATGTTGAGGGTGAGGTGAGAATCTGTGACTGGAGTAGATTGTCTGACGTGATGAACAAGTTGGCACTTTCCTACATCAAACTTTGTTCCCAATTCTTTCCCCGGGGCAAGGCCTTCCTCTGCAAGCACCTTGAGCTTTGCTAGGTTGTCCCCACCATCGCTGTATCATCAATGAACCTGAGTATCTTGTCACTTCTTCCCAATCACTATGTATTGGGGCTATATATAGATGGGTGCGAATACCTCAGAATAGATCCGAGTATGTGGTCATAGGGGTCTATTCGGGTATCTATCGGCCGGGCCTATTCAAGGCCTGAGTACCTTGGAATAGACCTCGAGTAGGTCCCTATTGGAGGACCAAATATGTCTGTCAATATCAACCCCTCTTCAAACCTGACTTTCAGATGTTCATTTGTGCTGCTGTAACCCTATGCAGCACCAAGTACTCCAGCCATCGCCAATGAAACTTCAGAGCTGTGCTGATGGCACATGATCAGTTCCCATTGCAGCCTGCTGTACCTCGTAGCCGAGGATCAATCTTTCTCATCCCGCAAACTTCAAAGGCAAGAGAGTGCTGGTATTTCTGCATCCAGTTGTCTGTACTCAGTTCACAGGACAGTCTTAATCTATATGGTTGGACTTGTGGTTGAAGAATGCCGCGGAAATGGTGAATTTCCAGGAAAAGGCTATTTGTTAGCCGCGAGTGAATGTGATATGTCTTGCGTCGCCTTGGAGAACCTAGGTCGTGGTCATCAGGGTCCAATCACAGGCTGGTTGATTTCGCACATCCTGGCAGCAAAACCAGACACCTCCAGCTTGGAGGGTGGCCATATATTATTGACCTAGTCTCAGATATTCATGGCCCCAGATAGGTCTGAATAGGTTCGGATAGGTCACTATTCGCATGGTCTATATATAGCCCTGATACGTAGTGAATGTGTCCTTCCTGATTTCTAGTAGACCCAAGCTGAAGATACTATAAAAAAGATATACCTTCATTTCAGAAAAGTGAGCCAAGGACCTTCTCCTGAAAGCAAGTCATGCGTGTGGCAAATTCAACAGCATCTGAAGTTACTGTAATGTCATCGGATGTCGGCTGAGAATCATTTGCGCCAAAACCCGAAGAGGCTGTGCACACGTGTATTATCCCCGATGGGTTCTTTGATGGGCGTTTCAACAAAATCGCTCCCTCCCAACAAACGAGCCCACATGTGGGACTCGTAATGCCCAAAGGGCCAGGAGCAGGAAGAGGCTTGGCTTATAAATAACTTTTTGAATACTCTTGACTGTGATCTTTGAGTGGGTAAGAGGCACTGGGTAATCTGAGCACTATTGGGGATACAGGTCAGAGAATCAGGGGGAAAAAAGTAGATGCAAAAAGATTAGCCTTTACCTGAGGGTCTTCTGCAGCCTGCCCCCTGGGTTTCACTAGTTCAGGCATCCTCAAAGGACCAGATTGTACTCCCGGCTCTGTTGTATACCAGTGGGATAGAGGCCAACCATTCTGGTGGCAGATACGAGTCCCCTATTTTTATTCCAGTTTCAATAAAGTTTTCAAATATCACATTTCACTTGGAAAACAATGAAATAAGCTGACAGCACAAAAGAAAACATGGAACATCAGACATGACAATATGCAAGCAAATGGGCAGCAACACAGAAAAGACTGAAAATACAATAAGGGGATCCTCTGGGGAGCTTAGGAGGTTTTGTAAATGAGCTTGAAGAAACTATAGTACTAGCTCCAACACATTGAATGAAAGACCTACAGAAATTCCATGTTAAAGAGCTGACAGAAAATGGACTCCTTACGATGTACAGATCAATGATCAGTTGGAGTTAGCTGGTGACAATTCACTGTCAAGTGTGTATCAGCAAATGAGATAGATAGATTTACACAGCCAGGCTTGGAAAAGACCAACTGGCGTAGTACTAGTGACATAATGGAATCAGTAATTGATGGAATCCTTGTCATATAAACTTGTATCACTCAGACATGCAACTCAAATGGCCCACTCAAAAATGGGTGAAAGCGTAGTCTCATATTGTGACCTTGGGAGCCAGTCCCTTGAATCTAAAATCCATGATAATTCTGTGCAAAATTGTGGCGAGATGTGCAAAGTCCAGCTTGGCTCTCATCGGGATCAGGAAGTCAGAAGGATCTGGAGGAGTCAAAGCACCCATAAGTAATGGGATCAAATTGTGGAGCACTTGAGCACTTGCTAGGTAGAGACAACTTTTTTTTCCCGTACCCTTTTCCTCCAGGACTGGGCAGGAGCTGCAGTCAGAATGAAGCAAACAAGGATAGAAATGTCTCACGAGAGATCTTTACACTCATGACAATGTATTTATAGGCCAGCATCAGTATAAGGATAGAGATGTTCGTTGTCTAGCGTATTTATGGCCACAAGCTCTTTTTCCTTGCTGAAAACAGTGCAACAGGTCCACCAAGGAGGAATGGAGCTCTTTATTTAAGCCTGACTGTATTGTCTTCTGTTAGCACCTTGAGTTTTTTTTGGGGGGCATTTTGTCGGATTAAATGATGAAACTACAATCTCTATGTATGAAACCAACGGTACACTAGTCTCATATACAGGCCAAATCAGAACAGAAATTTGTCTCGCATGAAATGAAGCATCCGCGAGTCTGAAACCCCTTGGAAGGAGGCCAATGATTTTAAGAATGAGAGCATATCCCTGTCAGGCACCTCATCACATGCCCTTCAGCCGAGATGATGAGATTTCAGATTTATTGAATGACCAGTCACTGCAGACAATAATTTACATTGTGAATGATGAATGGTATGTATATAAGTAAATGAAAGCAACCAATGACTTGGACCTGGTCCCTGTCCTGGACATCATCGCTAAACTTCCCGCTATCGCTATAGGATGCTGTTAATTGTAATCAACATCAGAGCTACAAAAGCTCTGGTATCTTTTGGATGAAAATGCGCAACTGGTGCTGCGGATTCCATGAGTGTTCAGCAGATAACTGTCTGAGAGGAAGTGGTCAGCATCAAATGCAAAGCAATAATGCCGGCTGTGGCTTGGAACGTCCGGGCCGAACATATCCCATTTGGGCTCTTTGATGATGGTGTGCAGAATTTCGCTCATTACAAACGAGCCCCATAAATGGGGACTCGTAACCTGGCAGCCTTTCAAATCTCACTGTCAAACATTTCGG